CGCCGCGCCGCAGTCCCGGCTGCGGCGTCCGGCACATGCTTGGCGCTCGCGCGGCCGGCGCCGGCGCACAGGTGGGAACCCCGCGAGTGGGCGTTGGGGCGAATCCCTGCCTCCTGCGCCGGGGCTCTCCGCCCGCTTCCACTCTTGACTTTGCCCGGTGCGTGGCGCCTGCCCTTGCTCCAGCGCGAGCCGCCCGTGCCCGCGCCCCGGCGCCGTGGGCGGCTGCGGTCCCTGCGCAGCTGGGGCTGCGCGTCATGTGCACCTCCCGCCCCGCGGCGGGCTCCGCGGCTCCGGTGGCCGGGGGCAGCGCGCGGCGGCCCGGCCTCGCGCCCACTCCTCGCCCGGCACACGGACCTCTCCGCCCCCACGCCCTCCCCCACGCCGGAGCTGTCAAGGAAGAAAACGCTGTGCACACACCTTGGAACGGACAGGCGCCCCAGTCACCGACTCGCCAAACTCTTAGAAGGTGTCCATTGGTCTGTGGGGAGGCTTGGGCATGGAGTAGGAGCCGCTTTCTTATTATTTAATAATGTTGGAAGTGCCGGGTCCGCTGCCAGAGTTGTGGGTCATGTGGGCACAGCAGAGGCTGGCTGCTGCCAGTACCAGGGTTTCCTGAGGATCCTGAAACTATGATCTCATCCTCCTCATCCGCCTCCCCCGCCCCTCTCTCCGCGGGCGCGCACGCACAGCACACACACGCACACACACTCACACTGCATGTGCACTCTCCTCCTTCCTGGACCGAAATATTCCTCCAGGGAAACAGTGTTCACGCTCTTCATTGAAAAAAAAAAATCCTTCCAGATAGACAGAGATTTTTTTCTCTCTCAAAGCTTGATTTATGTGCTTTGTTTATTTCCTACAGTTTACCCTCACACGTGCAGGGGATCTGAACAGAGCCTGAGAATTAAAATTAAAAATAATCATTCTCTTCCGTTGACCCAGATTTTGATCAGAACCCAAGAACTCCGATAGTACAATCTCAATTTAAAACACAGCAATAATATACCAGACTTGAATATGGAATAGTAATAATATCTTAGATGTCTGCACTGGGTTTTTTTCCCCAAGCTGCAAACATTTCCCAAACATTACCTCATTTGTTTGCAGAGTATCTTTGCAGAGGAGGTGGTTGAAAAGGTAAATACTAATAGTACTGTCACTTTCCAGCCACAGAGGCACAGATAAGATAACACGACCTATAAATATACACATAGTAAGTCAATATAAATTTTAATTGCACGACTCTTCACAGGTTGATTATTCACTGTAATCAATTTCTGGAAACTAAGGTTACTGAAAATATTCTCGACCTTTTTTAAGTTACCGACAAAGATGAAAAATCGTTCATTTATTTTTCTAATTATATGTTTTCACATAGTTTTCTCTTGTGTTTTTGTATATATCTCCAATTTCATGTTTTTGTATAATTTTCTTTTTGGGGGGAGTGTGTGTGTATGTATGTGTATTCATATTCACTTACATGGTATAAATTCTTTAGATAGTGTTAGCAATTTTAGTCAATGTTTTTGGGGTAGTCACCAGTTTTATGATGACTTGTCTATGACACTCAAACCTGTTTTGCCTTTTGTATAATGCTATGCTATGTTTTGAAGGATATAGAGAAGTTTAATACAGGTGTCTATCTTCTATTCATTTACATCTCATTGTTGAGGCAAGATCCTTATACTGTATCCATATTCTACAGATGATAAGTTTGTTTATTTTCGATGTGAATTATTGCAAAAAAGTATTAAATACAATATATACCCCTTTTCTTTTTACCTACTTAATTTCTGGTATATGTACAATCACCCCAGTTGTGTGGATGCCCCATATTTTGGTCTTTCTTTGATCTCCTCTAGCTTCTAAATAGCCAAAGGAATGAGCTTCACTTGGGTCTTCACCTTCACATGCACCATTCGCACATAAACACTCAGTGGGGATTGTTTTATATTGTAAATGTTTTCAGAAAGCACACTCTGTACAGGTGTAGGCAAGAAAATCCAGCAGCTAACTAGTCTAATAATCCAAAACCAAGAGAGATGATGTAAGAGAGACAACGGGTCTGGGAAAGCAGAGAAGAGAACGCCATGAAAAGCAGGGAAAGGGGGAATTAAGTTACAACCACAGGGAATAAAGAAGTCAAAAGAAAAAGAAAACTAAGGTCTTCCAAATTTTGCATATTGCAAGGGGACAAGTCAAATCTATCAAGTATAGAACACACATGTCTTAATACTGTGATGCAGTAAATCAGGTGAAAGCTATGTTAATTAGTAGGATGTAAGCACTTCAATTGGTACAAATAACACATTGAATCCCACAAAGGCATAAATGTAGTCATGATCTATGTATATATGACTTAATAAAATTAAAGATGTTTTCTTTGGGAAAAAAGACAACAAATTCAGGAAATCATAGACTTTATTGTTATCCGACACGGTTTTGATAAACATAGAGGAACCATGATGGCAAGGACACCAGGGGTCAGTGCTGCAGTTTGTGCTAAATGACTTCAATTAAAAAAATACACGTATAGGTATAAAATCCACTAGAAGAAATAAGTAGACTGACCTATCTATACAATGTAATAAAAATGGCAAAGGGATCAAATAGCCATGGGATATGTGTGTGTGTGTGTGTGTGTTTTAAAGAAGAAATGGACACTGATATTCAGGGAGGCAAAGTGGAAACCAAAGGACACAGGGATCTCGAGGAGGACAATGAAGAGTTAGGCTTGCAGTATTTAAAACAAAACATTAGTAATAATAATATCTTATATTTTAAAGCATCTTCAGATTTCTCAAAGTGCTTTTCGTATATCTGCTTTTGAGTCTAATAATAATTAGAAGTACTTACCTTCAAGGGCTTCATTTTTTAAAAAATGAAGAAAGATAATTCTCCTTAGTTTTCTACACGTTGAATGGAGACGTGCTGAAAACCTTCCCTCATTATTTTGGAAATAGCATTTATATTTTCTGATCGGTCAACTCTAAAGATGTTACCCAATATATCTTCCTCCAATCCTTCTCATAAACAATACAACCAGAAAGATTCCTGGACATATATCGTCACCGTGATTTATAATCCAGGATTTTACACAAGGTCTCGGAGTTAAACGAGAAGCTTTAGTACGTAGCCAACTCTAAAGGCTTTGCAGCATTGCTGGGAGATTCCGCTAAAGAGGTGGAAGGCTAAATCCAACAGCAATGTATCAAGAGCGCGTTCCTTTTCATCTACGTACTCATAATGGGGCTTGTTTTAATCACTCATATATTTAGGTTTGATGATTATAACGTGTGTTTCAGAGATGCGTTACAACTTCAGTGGCTCAGCAACCCCTAGCAGTTTGTGTCAGAACGCTTTCATTTAGGGAAAAATATTTTTAATGTGGTTTTGCACACACATTATGGTTTCTACTCCTTTAGACTATCTTCACCAAGGGAAAGAAATTACTTATTTTGTTCTTAGAATTTCTTGATTTTTAAAATTAGAGTTAAAAGGAGTGTGGCCATAGGTCAAATCAGAGTATTCACTATATCATAGTGAAACTCTATGTGTGTGCCTGTGTTTTCATATGTAGAAACAGATAAGACTGTGTAAGCATTTTAGGTCAAATTAGGATGATTATTATCTATGAGCTGGCAATAGGTTAGGGACAGGAAGAATTAACAATTTTGGAGTATTTAAAAGATTCATGTGACAAGAGTGAAAAGAAGATGTATACAAGAGTTGAAGAAATTGCTATTTTATCAATTAGAAACTCTTATACGCCCTGCGTAGACTACTTTTTTTTTAGAGACAGAGTCTCACTTTGTTGCCCTCAGTAGAGTGTTATGACATCACAGCTCACAGCAACCTCCAGCTCTTGGGCTTAGGCAATTCTCTTGCCTCAGCCCCCCGAGTAGCTGGGACCACCTGCCACAATGCCTGGCTACTTTTTGGTTGCAGCCATCATTGTTGTTTGGTGGGCCCAGGTTGGATTCAAACCCACCAGCTCAGGTGTATGAGGCTGGTGCCTTAGCTATTTGAGCCACAGGCGCTGAGCCGTGTGTGTTTTTCTTAATATAAATCTACAAGGAGTGTCCACTCAATCATCTTACAGGTAAGTTCCAGCTGCCTATTTATACGAAGTTAATATGCATCTGCCTGAGAAATTCTGCAGTGAGGCTTGGTCCTGGCAGCTCTTAGAGAGTAAATGCCAAGCCCAGCAGAAGAGAGATAGTCGCCCTTGCCTCTCACCAATGCTCCCCTTCTTAGCTAGACTGAAGGCTCCTGGACATGGGCAGACTCATATAGCTCGGATGTCTCTAGCAGTACCAATTACAGCGCCTCGCTTCAGTATCTCCCCAGTTGATCCCCCTGTTGGACAAACACCCTCAGGAGAAACATAGTTGCATTCTCCACTGTCTTCTATGACTGAGGGGGAAAACCTAGCTCAAGTGTAAGCAGTCAAGTGTATTTTGTTTCCCAGTGTTAAAATGAACAGATCTGTTGACATTTTAAATGGCTGCGATTCTACCTTATAATGGCAGTTCATTAAATACATATTATAGTGGTTCACATCCCTCAATGGCATCACACCAGCGTGTCCTTTACTCCTGGGAGAATTTATTTTCTCAATAGACCATAAACAAAACACAAATGTTTTAGATGAAACTTTAATGCACCATCGCAGTGAAGACACAGGGAGAAAAAGCCAGCTGGAGAGTAGCTTTTCAGAAGGTGCTTATAATCTACTCACTTCGCTGCCAAAACTGTTTTTAACTCTCTTTTCAATTGCTTCTGGGCTGAATGTTTCAGTGTGCTCACGTGTGTAAGTGTGTGTATGTGTCTCTAAGGATGCAGAATATTTTATTACAGGTAACCAAGGATTATATCAGATAAATCCAAACTATCAATAGCAAATAATTTTAATCAATGTAGATGACTAGTCCAACTAATTACGGACAAAAAAACCCCTCCTGTTTTATGGTAGACTAATTATCTGCATAGCTATCCACGTATCTTAGGGAAATGTCAAATTTGCCTGTGATAATTTCTAAATAAAACCTAATGTTTTAAAAAATACCAAGGAAACTGTTAATGAAGTGAAAAGCTTAGTCAAAACAATTTCATTTATGTGAGATCAGTTTGCCTGACTTAATTTTTTCCCACGGAAATGATTTTTTACATATCATGTAGACCCAGGACAAACCTCTTTTAGACCATCAGGAACTATGTTCACAAGAACACATTTTCAGTTGAAAGTTAATTCCCACGCTAAATACCATACAATTTATTTGATGCTGAAAGGCTTTATATTTTAAGAAAAACTAAATGAAAAAAAAAAAAAAAAAGAAGGGGCAATGGAGCTAAACTAGTCAATTTGCAATCTTTAAAAATGTCTGGCAAATACACGAACGGATCTGTACTAAAATTTAATGTTTGAAGTAGGGGATTTCACCCTTTAGGGGTTATAGTTTGAGATAGTTTGCAGTGTATTTTTCTGAGCTGAGCATGTGTCTACTGAGGTGCAAATACTCCTTGTTAAATTTGCAGTCGAGATGCTTGTATTTCACGTGTGCCGCAGATAGCAGGGATGAGTCTCCCGTTCTTTCCCCCTTTTGCCTCTGACTTGCATCACTAGATCAGCCTGAACG